ATGCCGCTGGCGTGCATGCCCGACTGGGTGACTCCCGTGAGCTTCGACCCGAGCGCCATGGCCGCGCGGGGCGCCGCCAAGGGCGCGGGGCAGCAGGAGCCGATGAGAGTGGCCCTCCACCCGCGCGATGGCGAGATCCCGTGGCCCGAGCGCCTGGCGCACCCGGCGGGCGCCCGCCTCGGCGCCGAGCCCCCGCCCTCCGAGGGGAAGGCCTCGCGCACGCAGCGGCGCCGGGCGCAGCGCAAGCTCTGCCGCTCGGCGAGGGCCAGGCTGGTGATGGCCCCGACGGGGCAGGGCGCGCCTCGGCCGTCGGACGAGGGCTGGGCGTGGTCCGCATGCGGTCGGTGAAGGCCGCGGCGGTGGCGGCCACGGCGCGGGTGCTGCCAGAGGCGGAGGGGGGCCGAGCGCGAACCCCGGCAGTCATGGAGCGGGTGATGACTGGCGATGCTGTGAGAGGGGGGTGGTGACTGGGGAGGGGGGTGGACATTTGAGACGTGATGATGCTGATGCTGATGGTGATGATGATGGTGATGATGATGATGCTGATGCTGATAGTGATGATGGTGATGGTGATGCTGATGGTGATGATGATGATGGTGATGGTGATCATGATGATGGTGATGATGATGCTAATGATGATGGTGTTGATGATGCTGATGATGATGGTGATGGTGATGATGATGCTGATGCTGATGATGATGCTGATGATGATGATGCTGATGTTGATGATGATGCTGATGATGGTGATGATGATGCTGATGATGATGATGGTGATGATGCTGATCATGGTGATGATGGTGATGATGATGGTGATGATCATGCTGATGCTGATGATGATGCTGATGATGATGCTGATGATGATGGTGATGATGATGCTGGTGATGATGATGCTGATGCTGATGATGGTGATGATGCTAACGATGACGCTGATGATGATGGTGCTGATGATCATGATGCTGATGATGGTGATGATGATAAAGGTTATGACGATGATTGTGATGCTGATGATGATGATTGTGATGATGCTGATGATGATGGTGATGATGATGATGATGCTGATGATGGTGATGATGCTGATGATGATGGTGATGATGCTGATGATGGTGATGGTGCTCATGATGCTGATGATGGTGATGATGATGCTGATGATGATGATGTCGATGCTGATGGTGATGCTGATGAGGATGATGACGATGGTGATGATGCTGATGATGCCGATGATGATACTGGTGATGATGACGATGATGATGATGATGATGATGATGGTGATGATGCTGATGATGATGATGGTGAGGATGGTGAGGATGTTGATGATGATGCTGATGATGATGCTTATGATGATGGTGATGATGATGATGATGATGCTGATGGTGATGATGATGATGCTGGTGGTGATCATGATGGTGCTGATGATGATGATGGTAATGCTGATGGTGATGATGATGCTGATGCTGATTCTGATGATGGTGATGAAGTTGATGGTGGTGATAATGCTGCTGATGATGCTGATGATGATGCTGATGATGATGATGCTGATGATGATGATGATGATGATGCTTCTGCTGATGAAGGTGATGATGGTGATCATGGTGATGATGGTGATGCTGATGCTGATGGTGATGATGATGCTGGTGATGCTGATGATGCTGATGATGTTGGTGATGATGCTGATGATGATGGTGATGATGGTGGTGCTGATGATGGTGATGATGGTGCTGATGATGACGGTGATGATGATGGTGATGTTGATTGTGATGATGGTGGTGACGATGATGTTGATGATCATGATGGTGATGATGATGAGGGTAATTATGATGCTGATCATGATGCTGATGATGATGCTTATGATGATGGTGATGATGATGAGGCTGATGATGGTGATGCGAGTGATGATGATGGTGGTGATGCTGACGATGGTGATGATGCTGATGACGATGATGGTGATGATGGTGATGATGATGGTGATCATGATGCTGATGATGGTAGTGATGATGATGATGGTGATGATGCTGCTGATGCTGCTGATGATGATACTGGTGATGATGATGATGATGATGATGACGATGGTGATGATGGTGATGATGCTGATGATGATGACCGTGATGATGGTGATGATGATTGTGATGATGATGCTGATGATGATGATGATGATGATGCTGATGCTGATGATGGTGATAGTGATGATGATGCTGATGATGCTGATGATGATGATGATTGTGATAATGATGCGGCTGATGATGGTGATGGTGATGATGCTGATGATGATGATGATGCTGATGATGATGCTGATGCTCATGATGATGGTGATGGCGATGACGATGGTGATGATGATGATGGTGATGATGGTGATGATGATGATGATGATGATGATGCTGATGATGATGGTGATGCTGATGCTGATGATGAGGGTGATGATGCTGATGATGATGATGACGCTGAGGATGATGATGATGGTGATTTGTATGGTAATGATGACGATGATGATGGTGATGATGATGCTGATGATGCTGATGAAGATGCTGATGCTGATGTTGATGGTGATGATGATGCTGACGATGGTGATGATGATGAGGCTGATGATGGCGGTGATGGTGATGATGGTCATTGTGATGATGGTGATTATGCGGATGACGCTGATGATGGCGCTGATGATGGTGATGACGATGCTGATGCTGATGCCGATGCTGATGATTGTGATGATGGTGATGATGATGCTGATGATGCTGATGATGTTGGTGATGATGATGATGCTGATGATGATGCTGATGATGATGATGATGTTGATGATGATGATGATGATCAAGGCGATGATGGCGATGATACTGGTGGTAATGATGATGGTCATGGTGATGATGTTGATGATGGTGATGATGATGCGGGTGATGGTGATGATGGTGATAATGATGCTGATGTTGATGATGATGATGATGCTGATGATGGTGATGATGATGCTGATGATGACGCTGATGATGCCGATGATACTGATGGTGATGGTGATGATGCTGGTGATGCTGATGGTGATGATGACGGTGATGCTGGTGATGATGATGGTGATGATGATGCTGGTGAAGATGATGATGATGATGATGATGATGATGATGATGATGATGATGATGATGATTATGCCGATGATGATGCTGTTGGTGATGATGATGGTGATGATGCTGATGATAGAGGTGATGCTGATGATGATGATGATGGTGATGATGATGCTGATGATGATGATGTCGATGCTGATGATGATGGTGATGATGTTGACGATGATGATGGTGATGATGATGTTGATGCTGACGATGCTGATGATGATGCTGATGGTGATGATGATGCTGATGATGATGATAATGATGGTGATGCTGCTTACGATGATGCTGATGCTGATGATGATGGCGATGATGATGCTGATGATGATGCTGATGATGATGATACTGATGATGATGCTGATGCTGATGCTGATGATGATGCTGATGATGCTGATGATGATGCTGATGGTGATGATGATGATGGTGATGATGATGCTGATGATAATGGTGATGATGATGGTGATGATGCTGATGATGATGCTGATGGTGATGATGGTGATGATGGTTATGCTGATGCTGACGATGTTGGTGATGATGATGCCGATGATGCTGGTGATTGTGATGCTGGTGATGATGATGCTGATGATGATGATGCTGGTTGTGACGATGATGATGGTGATGATGCTGATGATGATGGTGGCGATGATGAGTGATGGTGATGCTGATGATGATGTTGATGATGATGCTGATGATGATCACGGTGATGAGGCTGATGACGCTGATGATGGTGATGATGGTGATGGTGATGATGGTGATGGTGATGATGGTGATGATGCTGCTGATGATGATGACGATTATGATGGTGATGGTGATGATGATGATAACGATGCTGATTATGACGGTGATGATGGTGCTGATGTTGATGGTGATGCTGATGCTGATGATGCTGATGATGATGGTGATGATGATGCTGATGATGATGCTGGTGATGCTGATGATAATGTTGCTGATGATGGTGATGATGGCGAGGATGATGGCGAGGATGATGATGGTGGTGATGATGGTGGTGATGATGCTGATCATTGTGATGCTGATGATGATGCTGATGATGATGATGGTGATGATGATGCTGATGCGGATGATGGTGATGATGCTGATGGTGATGCTGATGATGATTGTGATGCTGATGATAATAATGTTGGTGATGCTGATGATGGTGATGATGATGATGTTGATGGTGATGGTGATGCTGGTGATGATGATACTTATGATGATCCTGATGGTGATGATGCTGATGATGATTATGGTGAGGATGGTGATGCTGATGATGGTGATGATGGTAATGATTTCGGTGATGGTGGTGATGATGGGAATGATGCTGATGATGATCATGATGGTGATGATGACGATGATGACGCCCATGATTGTGATGCGGTTGGTGCTAGTTGTGATGGTGATGGCGGTGATGATGATGCTGATGATGATACTGACGATGGTGGTGATGGTGATAATGATGGTGATGATGCTTATCATGGGTATGATGTTGATGATGATGATGATGATGATGGTGATGGTCGTGATGATGGTGATGATGATGATGCTGATGACGATGGTGTTGATCATGGTGATGGTGATGATGATGCTGATGATGATGCTGACGATATTGCTGATGCTGATGATGGTGATGCTGCTGATGATGAAGCTGATGATGATGATACTGATGATGATGCTGATGATGAGGGTGATGATGATGATGATGGCGAAGATGCTGGTGATGCTGATGATGATGCTGATGATGGTGGTGCTGCTGATGATGATGATGATGACGGTGATTGTGGTGGTGATGGTGGTGATGATGCTGATGATGATGCTGATGATGATGGTGATGATGCTGATGGTGATGCTGATGATGATTGTGACGCTGATGATAATAATGTTGGTGATGCTGATGATGGTGATGATGATGATGTTGATGGTGATGGTGATGCTGGTGATGATGATACTTATGATGATCCTGATGGTGATGATGCTGATGATGATTATGGTGAGGATGGTGATGCTGATGATGGTGATGATGGTAATGATTTCGGTGATGGTGGTGATGATGGGAATGATGCTGATGATGATCATGATGGTGATGATGACGATGATGACGCCCATGATTGTGATGCGGTTGGTGCTAGTTGTGATGGTGATGGCGGTGATGATGATGCTGATGATGATGATACTGACGATGGTGGTGATGGTGATAATGATGGTGATGATGCTTATCATGGGTATGATGTTGATGATGATGATGATGATGGTGATGGTCGTGATGATTGTGAT